AAAAAAAAAAAAAAAAAAAAAGGCACACACAATGTTAGCTACCGAAGTGTACGAAACGTTTTATTTGAATGTAACCAAATTAAAGGTTGCCACGATCTCACCACGGGGCCTCCGACGCGCCTGCGGGGGCTTCGAGGCAGATGGGCCGCGGCGCCCGCAGAACGCCCGGGGGTGGGAGGTCCCTGGCGGGCAGGTACGGTAAGGTCGGGGTGGGCGCATCTGCCCGGGCTTGCTGTGGCGCTCAGGGCTCCGGTTTGTGTCCGTGTGAGCCTGTGAGAGGAAGCGCAGTGCCCGCCGAGCGGGAGAGACAGGGAAAGGGTGGATGGGGGCTTTCGTGTTGGCTCACTCTCTCTCTCTTAACCTGGCTCTCGTTCTTTTCTGCCCTCCTCTCTTGTCTCTCCGCCTTCTCCTTTGGCTGCCTTCTCTTCCCTCTCTGCCTTTTGTACAGGGAGAGGGTCCCTCGTTTTTCTTCTCCAGCTCCTCTGAAAGATCTGCCTTCTCCTCAAGGTGCCGAATTGAAAATCCCGAGGGAAAAGGCAGAGGAGAGAAAGTGTGTGGGTGGAAAGACAATATTTAGGTCTCACTTCGTGGTTACTGCGGCTGGGGCGGGGTAGGGGTGGGGGGAGCCCACGTCTGGGCCCTTGCAGTTGTCAGTTTCTCTTTGACAGCCCTGTTCTTTTGGCGGTTGTTTCTGTGTAATGAGTATTGTGTGTGGCGTCCATGGGATTCCGGCTGAAGGTTAGTAAAACAGAGTTTGTCCAGGACTTTGCTGGAGATTAGCTTTCAGTCTTGGGCAAGGCTTATCCCATGAAGCGTCAGTGGCCTCCCCAGTAAATCAGGGCTGTTATAAAGATCACAGACGATGATGGATGGGGAAGGCCTGAGTGGTCTGTAGGAAACAAAGCAGCTGCTAGGGGTCCTTCCACACTTGCGGCAAATAGAGGGAGGCATGGCTTCCCACATCCACCTTAACACGCACTCACTAGCTGTGAGGTCCCCTAAGATAGACCCAGCTGAAGAAGAGGTGGGCTTAATAAGGATGAGCCTCAGTGTATGTGCGTTTGTTTTTGACCAAGCCAGGCAGGGGTTTAGGATGAAAAGTGCCCAGCCCCAGGGCCTGGCTGGCAGACCCACCCCCACCCCCACCCCACCCGCAGGGGGCAGGAGGTGGGAACGTGTTGTTTGTTTGCTTCGATCTGCATATGGAGTGAGTCATTGCCACTTGTCAAGGTGAAATGGCAGATCTGGGCTTCCTGTGGTTCCAAAAATCTGTGAGTGGAAATCCACAAGCGAGCTGGTGGTTGAAGCTGGCTAAAGGAGAGCCTTAGATATTCCAGAAGTGTTCAGGGATGTTTTGCACCCGGGGAAGAGAAGCCGGTTTGTAAATGAACCTCTCACGCGTGTCCAGTGTTCTTTTTCAACAGAGACAATCATTGAACTTTGGTTAGGACAGTTCAGTGTATTTCTCTTTGCCTGTCTTGAGTTAGGATGGGGAGAGGAGGAAATAGGTTCTTTCCTCTCCTTCTTTTCCTCTCCCTTCCCCCACTCCCTTCCCTTATCCTCACTCACTCACATGCACACACTAACCTTGAAGCCTATAGGATTGAGTGACTGGCACTTGGGACCACAGAGAAATGTCAGAGTGTTTGGTTACAGACTCAAGAAAACCTCTCATTTTAGAGTGCTCATTTGGTAAGATTCAGCAGCCTGGAATGGGGGCAAAGTGTTTGTGTGGGGGAAGGAACTTAAGAATGAGATTCACCCACATTAGGGTGCTGTCTTGCATGTTCTACAGCACGTAGGCTGATTTGGAAAAGGGACAGGAACTTGAGCCAGAAGACCTAGGGCCGGGCCACTAACCATCTACGTGGCCCAACATGACCTCCCTGGCCTCAGGCCCCTTTACCCGGAAAATAGCTCTAAAGGGTTATGATTTTGAACGGGGTGGGGGGGGGGAGCTGAAAAGGATTCAGATACTGTTTTATGTTGCAGCCCACATGTGATCATAAATAAGAGTCCTACACCTGTGCTTTAAAATTATTTTGTTTCAGAGAAACCAATTTGGAGCGGGTACATATTCCATGAGTCCTCCCTGGCCTGTTCTCAGTCAAAGCACACAATTAAATCTTTCCCCAGCAGAGGGAGCACAAGCTTGGAAGTTTGTAGTACTATGGTCTCAGACCCAGGAGGGAAAGAAGAAGAAACTTTGAAAAAGACAAAGATTCTCAAGGAAAGCATAGCTAAGCCATCTCGGGGTGTGTTCTGCAGATCCTGTGGTTATTAAGTGTTTCTTAATACCTTTTTTGTCCTAAGCAAACCACTTGAACTCCTGGGCCTCAGTTTTGTCAGCAGCGAAATGGGGATAAACGATATCGACCCAGTAGACGTTGAGAAATCATTGTAAGACTTGAAAGATAATATTTTAGCAGGTTTTGAAAACCGTCCACATCTTTAAGGCCCCCCCTGAAGGATCATTCTCATTGATATTGAAACAACCACTTTTCTTGTATTTTTCTTTCCCATAAACTTGGGCGGGGGGCGGGGGCGGGCTTTGGTTGGTATACATTTTTTACCTTGAGACAGGAACAGTGTGTGTATACCGTGTATTTAATGTGTGCCATTGCGTCCCGGTAGTCAGGATAAAAACGTTGTTACTGCGTAGCTTTGGGTGCCTTTGTTTCCGCAAGCGCAGACCTGGAAAAATGTTTGCTGGCTTGTGGTAAAACCGCTCCAGCTGGCAGGCTGCAGCTATCAAAGTAGAACCAAATACGTGTGTCCTAAAATAAGACTGTAGTGGACAATCTAACATTCATGAAATCAATTTCTCTTTGCTTTTTTCTCTTCCCTGCAGATTTTAAGCAACATTTTGGACTGTGAATCAAGGCATTGGGTAAGTAAATCTAATTATATGCTTTCAAACTTTGTGGACAAACTGTTTCTTTTGAAATTTGCCAATGCATGTGTTTCTGTGAACTTGGCCACTTTTCATTAGATGAGATAAAGAATAGCCAGTTCCCTTCTGCATCGTTCCCAGGCCTCACCCACTCACCCCTGTGTTAGACTATCTTCACCGTCGTGTGATCATTCACACCCTCTCTCATTTCTTGGTTCGGATCCAATGTAGCCACCTACTATGCTCCAGCAGCACGCTGGGTGCTTGAAGTACATTCAGACAATTCTAAAGCCTAAAAGAGGAGAGAACAGATGGTGGCTGGGATAAGGAAATGAGATTCGGACAAGAATAGCTGTGATTTTTGAGAACCCACTATAGCCCGGGCACATATCTCTAAATTTTACAAACACATAGGTATTACTTCCCCCCCGTTTGGGGAAACCAAAGCCCAGAAACAATAAACAGTCTGCCCCATGTCACACAGCTAGCAAAAGGTAAAGCTGGCTTGCTAACCTTCCAAGTGTGGTTTCTCTCCCCTGTAACACACTTACTGCCTCTCAGTGCCCGGCCGAGTATTTGGTATGTGGGAAAAGCGCTCCACAGATATTCATTCACGTCTGCTTTCCCCGAAAGGCTTTTTTCTAGTCCCACTTGTTAGATAAACATTATTTTTCCCATCTTACAGATGCCCAGAGATGGGCCACAAATTGGTACAAGACCAAACCCGAGGGACCTCGGTTTACATCCCACATGTTAGCAGGCCGAGGCTCCTGTTCTCACACTCCTGGCAAACAGGAGTCGGGTGCTGGGGAACCAACAAGATTCTGACCCTTTGCTTTCCAGGTGAAGACAAAATGGCCTCGCCGGCTGACAGCTGTATCCAGTTTACTCGCCATGCCAGCGACGTGCTTCTCAACCTTAACCGCCTGCGGAGCCGTGACATCTTGACCGATGTTGTCATCGTGGTGAGCCGCGAGCAGTTCAGAGCCCATAAGACAGTCCTCATGGCCTGCAGGTGAGGGGTCTGGAGGGGAAAGACGGATGTATAAAGGCGAGCCGACAGGGTGGGCGGGCAGCGAGGCAGAACAGGCGGGCCTTTTGCTGTGTTCGGAATTACATGGCACTTGTCTCCAGACCTCAGCCCGTGGCCTGGCAGAGTAGGTTCCCAGGGAGCGAATGAATGCACGCGCTTCTGGGGAAGAAAGAGTTTCTGTTCTGTGGGAATAGAGGGAGAAGAAATCGTATACTGTCCCAAGAAAGGATGTGTTTGGACAATAACATGGAGAATAACTCCAGTTAGAAGAAGTCAGAGGGGGGTTGACAATATTGTAAGCAAGTGAATTTGATATCTTTTGCCCTTTTATTCTGTAACTATGTGCGATTAATCCTGTGGCTGTATTTCCATGGGTGTTTCAGGGTATATATGTGTAAGTTAGGAAGAGTGAGCCGGCCGATTCTTCGTATTTGCCAAGCATTTCACGTACACAGAGCTGTGTTTTTTAAGTTTATTTATTTATTTTGAGAGAGAGAGAGAGAGGAGGGCCCGAGAGAGAGGGAGACAGAGAATCCCAGGCAGGTTCCATCCACACTGTCAGCACAGAGCCCGACGTAGGGCTTGAACTCACAAACCGTGAAATTATGACCTGAGCCAAAATCAAGAGTCAGACGCTTAACTGACCAAGCCACCCAGTGGCCCCCCAGAGCGATTCTATATTACATCTTCTCCCTGGATCTTTGCAGTGGCCTTCTGTGGTATGGAGGCATTACCTCCATTTTATAGACAGTGAAACAAAGACGCAGATAGGTGAGCCGATATAAAGTCAGGGATCTCTATCACTAGCCGAGAGCTCACTCAACATCTACAGCAAGCACCTGTTTTTTGGTTTTTGTTGTTGTTGTTATTTTTTTTTTAATTTTCTTTTTTTTTGAACGTTTATTTATTTTTGGGACAGAGAGAGACAGAGCATGAACAGGGGAGGGGCAGAGAGAGAGAGGGAGACACAAGAATCGGAACAGACTCAGGCTCCTGAGCCATCAGCCAGAGCCTGCGCGAGGCTTCGAACCACGGATCATGTCAGTCGACTGAGCTGAAGTCAGACGCTTAACCGGTACTGCGCCACCCAGGCGCCCCAGTTGTTGTTATTTTAATGTTTAATTTTTGAGAGAGAGGGAGGGGCAGAGAAGGAGACGAGGATTCAAGGCGGGCTCAGCTGACACAGAGAAAACCGCTTGGGCTCGAACCCACAGACTGATACAGGCTCTGAGGTCATGCCCTGAGCCGAAGGCAGACGCTTAACCGACTGAGCCACGCAGGCGTCCCCAGCACGTATTTTTTAACAGTGGCAAAAACAGAGATTTATAGAGAAAGGAAAGTAATAGAAAATACTCACCAAGTGCTTACTGTGTGCCAGGCATCATTCTATGTACCCTTTATGTTTTCGTCCTTGCCGCAACCCTGTCGGGTGGACACCGTGGCTCCTGGTTTGCAGATAAGGAAAGCAGGGTGCAGAGAAGTTAAGTATCTCACCCAAGGTTGCACAGCTACTTCCTAGTAAAAGTCTGGCTCGCTTCCAGCAACCCATTAAGAAAGAGCAGAATCCAGACGACAGCCTAGAATCCTGACTTGTGATTGAGTGCTCTTTCCTCCATCAGACAGCATGGTAGCCAGAGTCATGGCCTGAAGTTTCACCTGTGTCTTCGAGGAATATTGACCTTACGGAAGTCTATAGACTTTTAGCAGATCAGTAGACTGTACACGTAGGCATCATTCTATTTATTTCTCATCAACACGCAACTTGTTTCTAAAAACATACAATGGCATTTTAAAAATAAGGATCATAGGAAGAGAAATGTTTATCTCAAAGCTAGAGACTAAAAATGGTAACGGCAAATGAGTGCCGAATTTCACTCTGATGATCCATGCACTTAAGACCATAAGGAAAATAGCTTCTGTGACTTTGAGAAAATCATTTAACTTCTGATCTTTGTCCCCCCATTCGTAAAGGGGAGAATGATAATATCTACCTTGCAAGGTTGTGAGGAACACAGGATAATGTATGTAAAGTGCTTAATGACTGTCTGGCATTTAGTTAGCTCTCCATAAATGGCAGTTATTATTAATTGCCACAGAAATTCTGGAGCAAGGCCCAGGGGAGAGAGCGGAGCCCTGACACTGACTGTAACTGATGGCAAATTCTGTCTGTGATAGTGAGACATTTGTTTGTTTTATAGCGGCCTGTTCTATAGCATCTTCACAGACCAGTTGAAATGTAACCTGAGCGTGATCAACCTGGATCCTGAGATCAACCCTGAGGGGTTCTGCATCCTCCTGGACTTCATGTACACGTCTCGGCTCAATCTGCGGGAGGGCAACATCATGGCCGTGATGGCTACGGCTATGTACCTGCAGATGGAGCACGTTGTGGACACTTGCCGGAAGTTTATCAAGGCCAGGTGAGCTGGCGCGGGGTTGAAGGCCTTCAGAGAGCCTTGGTAACGCTTGCATACAGGATCCTCTGTGATATGCACAACCTACGTTTCCACAATTCTTGGCACACTTCCGCCTTCTTAATTCTTGGGCTCCAGGCAGGTGGTGCTCTCCAGAGAAGCCCTGTGCTTTCCCTCTTGCCTTCTTCTATTCGTTTGACGTGTCCTCTCCTCCCGCCCGTCCTGTCAGGCCTAGCTTGGATGCCAGCCCCCACCCACGGATGTTTTTGCAATGGCCCCTCTTCCTCCCCCAGCTCTTCCTCTGTGTCCCTAAGCCTTTGGCCTGTCCTTCAGACCTTCCTTCTGTTTTAACCATTTGCATATGTAGTTGAGTTCTCCTTTAGACTTCCGTCACAATGATTTACATAGGCGCCTTAGTTCCCCTACCAGACCGCGGGCTGCTTTACTCACCTTTTACCTTGCCGTTGCCGGGCTCCTACTGGAGAGGACCATTTACTGAATCACCCTGAGTTCACTGGGTCTAATCCCCTACCTGAGGGCCGGTCAGACATGACCGTCCTTTAAAGGTGAGGAACCTGAGAGCCAATCAAGTGAAGGGCTTGGCTAAGTGGAGCAGGGACTCAGGGCTTGACTTTTTTAGAAGCATTTGATTCAGCTGTTCTAGGGTGATTGCACCCCTTATCGCACAGAAGCGTTGCTAGCCTCTGTTTGAACACCTCCAGGAGCCAGGAACCCAGTGTTCTCAGAGCCACACGGTCTCCCCTGGCCAGTTAGAAAGCTCTGCTTTATGGCGAGCCGGAATGTGGCTCCCTTAACCTTTGCTCATTGGTTCTAGCTCTGTTAACTATGAGCATGTTGAGCTGGCCTATTTTTCGCCCACATAATGTCCCTTCAAGTACGGGCAGTGAGAGCTCATTGTCTCCTGTGGGTAATCGTGGTCGCAGGAGCATCATTGCTGTCCTTTGCCAGTGCTTTCACTGGGTCAGGCCTCGTGCTCCGAGTGGTTAAGTAACTCGCTCCAGCTCACGGAGCTGCTGAGTGGCACGGCAGAATTGGAAAGCAGGTCTGGCCGCTTCAGAGCCACGGCTTCCAGGACGGGCGTCTGCCACCCGTCCTCCAAAGTCAACTTGCCCAGGACTCTAGGCAGCACAGAGGCTGAGGCCTGTCTTCAACAGGGCACCAGTTTTTTCCGGACCCTCGGAACACGTGGCACCAGGATTGCGTGAATCCTTCCCTCCCTGAGCCTCGGTTTCTGTGTGTGTAAAATGGACACGATAATACCTCTCTCCCTTTGCAGGATTTTGCCCGGGTGAGACGAGATAAGGGCTGGCAAAGCTGCTTTCCCTTCTAGGATATCTGAGGACTTACAGATGCACACGCATGTATACTGGTGTGACTAGACATGAGATGTCACGTCTAAACAGGCACAGACTGTGTGGCTAACTCGCTGCCCTTCTGTGGGTCTCGTCGCCCCCGCTGTGGGCTAGATTGCTGGGTTCCTAGCATAAAGGCCTTGTAACTGAAGTCCTTCCCCCCTCCAGAGCCACATCCCTTACATCTAAGCTGCCCAAGCACAAATGTGGTTACGGACGCCGGGGTCACTGGGAAAGCCCTCTGTTCAACAGCTCTGATTTGGAGGCCCATGTCCCCTCTCTGTTTTCCCCTGCAGTGAAGCCGAGATGGTTCCTGCCATCAAGCCTCCCCGTGACGAGTTTCTGAATAGCCGGATGCTGATGCCCCAAGACATCATGGCCTATCGGGGTCGGGAGGTGATGGAGAATAACCTGCCGCTGAGGAACGCCCCTGGGTGTGAGAGCAGGGCGTTTGCCCCCAGCCTGTACAGCGGCCTGTCCACCCCGCCAGCCTCTTACCCCGTGTACAGCCACCTCCCGGTCAGCAGCTTCCTCTTCTCCGATGAGGAGCTGCGGGATGCCCGGATGCCCGTGGCCAACCCCTTCCCCAAGGAGCGGGCCCTCCCCTGTGATAGTGCCAGGCCCGTACCCGGTGAGTACAGCCGGCCGGCCATGGAGATGCCCCCCAGTGTGTGCCACAGCAGCATCTACTCACCCAAGGAGGCCGCCCCGGAGGAGGCACGCAGTGACATGCACTACGGCGTGGCCGAGGGCCCCAAGCCGGCCGCCCCCTCGGCCCGGAATGCCCCATACTTCCCCTGTGACAAGGCCGGCAAGGAGGAAGAGAGGCCCTCCTCCGAGGATGAGATCGCCCTGCATTTCGAGCCCCCCAGCGCACCCCTGAACCGGAAGGGTCTGGTGAGTCCGCAGAGCCCGCAGAAGTCTGACTGCCAGCCCAACTCGCCCACGGAGTCCTGCAGCAGCAAGAACGCCTGCATTCTCCAGACCTCCGGTTCACCGCCGGCCAAGAGCCCCACCGACCCCAAAGCCTGCAACTGGAAGAAGTACAAGTTCATTGTGCTCAACAGCCTCAACCAGAATGCCAAACCAGAGGGGCCCGAGCAGGCGGAGCTGGGCCGCCTTTCCCCTCGAGCCTACACCGCCCCGCCGGCATGCCAGCCGCCCATGGAGCCCGAGAGCCTTGACCTCCAGTCCCCAACCAAGCTTAGCGCCAGCGGGGAGGACTCCACCATCCCACAGGCCAGCCGGCTCAATAACATCGTCAACAGGTGCTTTCCCAGGCAGTCCGGGCCTGGGGTCAGGGCTTCCCACGCGGTCACTTCTTCTGATGGAGGCGGGGCTGTGTTCTTTTCTTGCCTGAATACTGAGTATGTTAGAGGTGTGCAGTGAGCACCCACTGATTGAATTCGCCTAAGTAAGGAAGCATATTAAGCTTTGATCTATTTTGTCAGAGCAAGAGCGGGAAAATCCCCTCGGCGGCAGAAGAGCATTTCATGAATCCCCAGGGCAGCTTCTATGGTCTTGGCAGGGCAGGGCGATCTCGCCCCCGCTTTGGACTGAGCTAGCCTGCAGACTGGGACTGGCCTGGCCTGGGTCGGGGTGTTGGCCCAGTGTGACCCTGTCAGGGGTCTCAGGGCGTACGTTGTTTAGAGGTAGGCTTGAGGATAACTCTGTGGCCCCACATCCAGAGCGAGGCAGCCCAGCTCTGGGCTCACCTGAGCACAGGACGGGAGGGGGCAGCGTCCAGGCCAAGTGGGGTGCTTTACGCTGCCCAGCTGCTGAGGCTCTCTTTCCTCCTGCTCACAGGTCCCTGACCGGCTCCCCCCGCAGCAGCAGCGAGAGCCACTCGCCTCTCTACCTGCACCCCCCCAAGTGCACATCCTGCGGCTCTCAGTCCCCGCAGCACGCGGAGATGTGCCTCCACACCGCCGGCCCCACATTCCCCGAGGAGATGGGCGAGACCCAGTCTGAGTACTCGGATTCTAGCTGTGGTGAGTCCCCTTCCCTCCTTCCCTTCCCTTGCCGGGGAGAAGGAAGGCCCCTGCCTCTGCCCGTGGGGTTCGCGTTTCCATTTCACGTATGCTGTTGTTACCGATTGGGAGAAGTCCCCGATTGGAAGGTCACTGGCACTTGACAATCACCAGTCCATCACCCCACTCTTGGCCTCTTGAACCAGGCAGACCGGAGCGATGGATAGGGTGTTTGAGTTCATCTGGGCTAGTAGAGAATGACCAAATAGCCTTTTCAGCTGCATTCCAGCTAAGGTAACCTGTGGGGCTGGCTATAACTCCCAGAGCTTTCTCGGCTGCTGGGGACCCAACAGCCTGACCTGTGTTAGTTCCCCCCAGCTGGGCCGTGCATTCCGTAAGGACAAGCAGCCGACTGTAATCATTCCTGCGTCTCCCACAGATCCCAGAGAATTTCTAGCATGGAGTAGGCAACTCGGCTAATGTTAGCGGAATTAGATTAGTGGAACTGAATTATTAAATTGAAGTGTTGGATACTTTGTGATTGGCATCCCCAGTTTTTATCAGATAAAAGCCCATCTTTTCCCTCAAGCTCTGGCTGGAGTAGGATAGCCCAGTAATACCTACTCGGGGGTGAACCGCCTGCCATGACACGTCATTTTCAAAACGTTAGCACAAAAGGAAAAGAAATCAGTCCCTCACACTGAGGGATTTGGCACAGGGTCATGGATGTATAGCTGGGAGAGCAGGGACTGTCCCCATCTGTCCCCCTGGCCACTTGCCTTTTCTCTGCATCCCGTCCCTTCTCTCTAGGCCGCTGTTTCTACTTCCCGTCCTTGTTGGCTCTCCCAATCTCACAGAAGTGTTTGGGGGACATGAAATCCAGAGAGAGATACAGGGTGACCCTGTTCACCATTACTTCCTCATTTAATGACCTCCAAGTGTCATTGGATTTTATATCTTACATTCCTAGAATGCTTTGCGTGATACAGTATGCTCCTGTGAGATAGGCCGTGGGGGGTTGCTCTCCTGACTTTGGAGATGGAGACACAGACAGGCTCAGAGAGGTGAAGGGTTTTGCTCGAGGGCTCCCGTGTATGAATGTCAAGAAAACTATGCAGTGATAGGAAAAGTCAGTTGTCAGAGCTCTCTAGACAGGAAGAGCCGGCTGAGCTTTCCTGAAGCTGGCACAGGCCGTGTAGATACCCATTGGTTTGTTTCCCTCCTGTACCTTAATACTCAAATCTGTCTCCTTTGTCCTCCACGACTGGGACTCTAAATGCTAAGAAAAAGAAAACGCCACAGGCCCCTGGCTCTGGGTTCTCGGGAGCGTCAGGTGAATGGAGGTTGGGGATCAATTTGAGTGCAGCCGCAGAGGGAAGAAGTGGCCTCGGAGCCCTGCCTCCCTTCCTCATTGTGACTTTGGTGTCCCCGTCCCCGCCTCCCAACAGAGAACGGGGCCTTCTTCTGTAACGAGTGTGACTGCCGCTTCTCTGAGGAGGCCTCGCTCAAGAGACACACGCTGCAGACCCACAGCGACAAACCCTACAAGTGTGACCGCTGCCAGGCCTCTTTCCGCTACAAGGGCAACCTCGCCAGCCACAAGACCGTGCATACGGGTATGGCCCTGCCCCCCCCCCCCAACCCCACCTCGGCTGGTCAGGGTTACTGGGACCAGGATGGGGAGAGAACCGTAGAGAAAGCAGAGTGGGGCCCTGGCCCCCGGCGGGCTGAGGCAGGGAGCAGGCCCCGTCCTGACCCGAATGTGGGCCTAGCCCTGTCACGTCTTTGCTTGGTGACTCATTCCACTCCCTGTATTGTTTGTCTTTTCTCTGAGAAGCTCTGTCCTGTGTCTCTCCCTTCGCTGGAGTCAGAAAAGTTAATCCCAATGCTCAGCCCTTCTGTCAGCTTCCTCCACCTGAGCATCTACTCTGACTCAGGCCCCAGCCCTCTCGCACATGGAATCCCGCTGCCATAAGCGGAAAAGCATGTCTTCTCCAAAAGAGAAACTTGAACAGTCTGATTGTATCTTCCTGGCGAATGGTTCGGTTCCTGTATCGGTCTTGGCCAAGGCGAGAGCGAGAAGAGCCTTCCTACGGCGTCTAAATTCACCCCTCAGGTTCCAGAGAGGGAAACTGAGGTCCAGAGGAGGAGAGTGACTTCTCTGAGTCGGCAGTTAGATAATCCTGATGACATGGCCGGTTTCAAGGCCTCCCGGGAGGAACCCCCTCCCTCCCTCCCTCCCTCTCCCACCGCCTGTGTTGTTTCTGCTCTGTCCCCGCCTGCTTCTTGACCCTGGCCGCCTGCAGCCTGTGCCGGTGTGTGTGCGCGCGTGTTGGGGGTGGTGGCCAGGAAGCAGGCCCCTGGATCCTCTCTCAGACATCTTCCAAGTGAGATAACGCTGAGGGTGGCCCCCGGAAGGGCAGTTTGCTTTGAGATCCAGGGATGCGGGTCTGCAGGGACCTCTGTCAAATATGGCTTTCTTTATCCCCTTCCTTTCGGTAATAGGTGAGAAACCCTATCGCTGTAACATCTGTGGAGCCCAGTTCAACCGACCAGCCAACCTGAAAACCCATACTCGAATCCACTCTGGAGAGAAGCCCTACAAATGCGAAACCTGTGGAGCCAGATTCGTACAAGTGAGCAGGGCCATGGGGAAAGGACCCCTCAGCCTCCGCGTGCTGACGAGGGGCTCCCGGGGGCGGGGGCCGCGGCCCGCCCCAGCGGAGCCTCTCATGCTTTGCCCTTCCGTTCAGGTGGCCCACCTCCGTGCCCACGTGCTCATCCACACTGGAGAGAAGCCCTATCCCTGTGAAATCTGTGGCACCCGTTTCCGGCACCTTCAGACTCTGAAGAGCCACTTGCGAATCCACACGGGAGAGAAACCGTACCATGTATGTGAGCCTCTTGTCACCCCCGTGGGCTGGCCTGGGAGGGGTTGAGGGTAGAGGTGCAGCCAGCAGAGCTGTTTGTGTCAATCTCGGGCACACGGTGGGATGACCACTGAACTAAAGGTCACAAGACCTGGTTTGGGCCTAACTGTCAAAGACACCCTGCTTGACATTGGCTATGTCTCAGTTTGCTCGTCTTCAAAGTGAGGGTATGGGGCTAGGTGATCTGGGCCTTAGGACAGAGGTCCAGACTATAGATCCATTGGTTTTGGAGTCATTCATTCATTCCACACTAACTGGCTTCTTACAATTTGCGTCTATGTTGGGCTGGCTACCTGTCTACCTAAGAGGACCTAAGGTGTTTGAGAAACAACAGCCATAGGAGTGGGAAGAGAATCAGAAAAATGTGGTGATGGGGCCCCTGGGTGGCTCAGTCGGTTACGCATCCGACTCTTGATTTCGGCTCCGGTCATGATCTCACTCACGGTTTGTGGGTTTGAGCCCCGCTTCAGGCTCTGTGCTGACAGTGTGGAGCCTGCTGGGGATTCCCTCTCTCTCTCTCTCTCTCTCTGCCCCTCCTCTGTTTGCGCTGTCCCTCTCTCAAAAGAAACAAATAAACAACAACAACAAAAAAATGTGGTGACAGAAGGGAAAAAAAGAGAAAAGTCCACTTTAAGAAACAGCAGGTGGCCAGCTGGAATGCCATGAATGGGCCACTGGAATCATAGTGTTCCGGAGCAAGGTTTCAGCCAACCATGGCTTGCGGGCTTATTACTGAACATTTCGTGAGCTAAAAATGGTTTTAATATTTTCAAATGGCTAAAAAATTAAGAAATAATATTTTGTGGCCCGTGCAAATTATATAAAATTTAATTTTCAACGTCCATAAAGAAAGTGTTACTGGGACACGGCCGTGCTCCTTTGTTTACGTACTGTCCTTGGGTACTTTCCTACTACAGGGGCAGTCTTGTCATCACGATGTATTTACCATCTGGCTCTTCACCAGTTAGAAATCATTTGCCAATCTCTGCCACCGACGGGGGAGATACTGGCTGGGCAGCTGGGGTGTCTGGTTCTTAGTCTGACTTTGACACCAACCTTTTTGGGGCCATAGGCAAGCCCAGACCCTCGCTGTGGACCACAATTTTCTTTCCTGAGAACTGCTATAGATGAGCAGTTTCCAAACCATGCTCTTTTAACACTGAAGTTCTTTAATCCTGCTGTCCCTTTTGCCTTTTGAGTTTCTATTTAATTTGAAAAGAGTCCCACGGCTTACAAGTGTGGAAACTACTCTGATAGGTGACTTTGGTGGCTTTATGGCATCACTGTAGGTAGGGCTGGGCACAAGAACGAACCAATGAGTGCTTAACCCGTGTCACAAATGTGAGCCGGCAACATGTGGTTATTTTGACCCACTGTTTATCAGTCCCAGGGTGAGAATCTTCTTACTTGCATTTTGTCCTTGGGCAAATTAGTTCATCCTCTCGGTGCCTCTGGTTCCTCATCTGCAAAATGAGCCTGGACGTAGCTGTGTTCCTGGGGCTGTTGTGCTCAGTTACCAGATCCACTCAAGGGTCGGGATGGTGCTGGGCACACAGGAAGAATACAATAAATATGTGCTAGCAGTTTAGATGCACAGATGTCGAGGTAACGGTGACCTTCAGAGTGCACTGCCTCAGTCCTTTACAAAAAGGAAAACCAAGGCACACGGAGGAAACGATGTGCTTGGGCGGGGAAAAGCGCGAGCGGCATCGGAACACGTTAGAAGACAGGGAAGGGCCATTTGCACAAAGCTTATGTGTCCCTTAGCTGGAGCCAGAATTCTCCACCCGGCCTTGGAGGGGGATGAGCTACCCAGATCTCTCAGAGGGAGACCCTCCTTCTCTGGGTCTCTGAGCAATGACACGTTCCCTGGGTTGGTGACAGCTAACAGTCTGCCTCCGGTTTTCCTTCAGTGCGAGAAGTGTAACCTGCATTTCCGTCACAAAAGCCAGCTGCGTCTTCACTTGCGCCAGAAGCACGGCGCCATCACCAACACCAAGGTGCAGTACCGTGTGTCCGCCACTGACCTGCCCCCGGAGCTCCCCAAGGCCTGCTGAAGCATGGAGTGTTGATGCTTTCCATTCGAGTCCCTTCTCAGAAATCTACCCAAAG